AGGGGGTGAAAAAATATCATCTATATTTATATTTGTATTTATTTATATTGTACCTTATGGTTTAGCGAAGAGGTGATAAGCATTTATAGTGCTTAACAGGTCCTGTGCAAAGCACATTTGATCCTCACAACAACCCTGTGAGATTGATAGTTATTATTTTACAGTAGAGGAAACTGAGGAGAACAGGGTCATGGAGCTAGTGAATGAGGCTCAATTTAAATTCAGGTCTTCCTGACTCCAAGTTCAGCATTCTATCCATTATACCACCTAGCTGCCTATGCTTGGCAAAGTGATTTGCCTGTGGTTACACAGTCACGATGGGGCTTGAATATCTAGGTCTTCCTAACTGGGTCTCTACCCACTCATCATGCAGCATCTCATGCTTTTTGTAGCATATCAAAAAGCAAATTCAACAAATATTTATCAGTCAACCACAACTGTGTATAGGACACTGGGCTAGAGAGTAGAAATGCAATGATGAAAACAAGGAACTCTCAAATAGCATATATTCTACTAGGAAGGCTGTGGAAGAAGGAAGGGAGGGAGAGAGAGAAGGAGGAAATAAAGAAGGAAGTAAATAAGGAGGGAAGGTAAGAAGGAAATAAAGAAGGTAGGAAAGAAGAGAATAAGAAAGGGAGGAAGGGAGGAAAAGAAGGAAGGGAATGAGGGAGGGAAAGAAGGAATGGAGGAAGGGAGGAAGAAAACAAGCATTTATTAAGCACTTATGTTTCCAGGCTCTGTGCTAAGTGCTTTTAAAATAATATCTCGAAAACCTGGAGAGACTTGTACGGACTGATGCTGAGTGAAGTGAGCAGAAACAGAACATTGTACACAGTAATAGCCACGTTGTGCGATGACTAACATTGATAGACCTAACCCTTCTCAGCAATGCAAGGATCTAAGACATCTCCAAAGGCCTCCTGATGGAAAATGCTATCCATATCCAAAGAAAGAACTATGGAGTTTGAATGCAGATCGAAGCATGCCATTTGCCTTTTTTTTTTTCTTCTGTTGAGTTTTGTTTCCTCTTTCTGGTAGTTCCTCCTATTGGCTCTAATTTTTACTTAAAACATCACTAATGTGAAAATATGTTTAATAGGAATGTATATGTGTAACCTATACCAGATTATGAGCCATCTTGGGGAGGGAAGTAAGGAGGGAGGGGGAGAAAACTTTAAAACTCAAAAGCCTATGGAAGTGATTGTTGATAAATCAAAATAAATTAATAAAAAAAATTTTTTTAAAATAATATCTCATTTGATCCTCACAACAACCTTGTGAGGTAGGTGATATATTATTATCACCATTTTACAGATGAGGAAACTGAGGCAGTCAGTGATTAAGTGACTTGCTCAGGGTCACACAGCTATTGTCTGAGTCCGAATTTGAACTCAACCTAACTCTAGGGCCAGTACTCTCTCCACTGTGCCACCTTCATGCCTCTGACAAGAATTGTTTGTATACCGGACACACAGATAAACCACAAGAGCTAATAATAGTTAACATTTGCATAGTGCCTGCTATGTGCCAGGCACTGTGATAAGCACTTTACAATTATTATCTCATTTGCTCTTCACAATAAATCTGGGAGGTAGGTGCTTTTATGATCGATCCTCTATTTAGAGATGAGGAAACTGAAGCAAACAGAGTTAGGTTAAGTGACTTGCCCAGGGTCTCACAACTAATAATTGTCTGAGGTTTTATTTGGACTCAGGTCTTCCTGACTTGAGGCCCAGAGCTCTATCTTCCACACTATCTACTCGCCTCTAACAAAATATGTTTGTGTAACAGGTATACAAATAAATATAATGCTGAGTAATGCCAGAAGGGAGAAAACATTAACCATTCAAAACAAGAAGCTGGTGATCATACTGGTGAGAATATGGAAAGAAAGCATTAGAAAGGGACTCCCTTAGTCACCCCATCTCAGGCTCCTGGAAGTCCATTAACCCAGGGCCTGTAGTCAAAAGCTTCAGCAGAGAAAAGAGGAAGGGTAACAGGACAAACTTTCTCCCATTAGGCACAGGCCAATAAAAATTATCTCAATCCCTGTGTGTCACATGTTCAACCCCTAACCCTTTGGCAGGGGGTGGTGAACCCGAGGCCTCGAGGCTACATGTAGCCCCTACGTTCTAAAGTGCCCTTTGACAGATTCAGGCCACACTTCAGGACCTAGGGGCCACACGTGGCCTTAAGGCCATGGGTTCCCCACCCCTGCCCTAGGGTATTTATCATGTTTTAACTTAATGAAGCCCCTGGTCTTAAGTAGTTCCTAGACTCATAAACTAAGAGCTACAAGGTTACCTTAGAGGTCATTCCAGTGGTGCTGCTTAATCATATCTGATTCTTCATGACCCTCTATGGGGTTTTCTTGGCAAAGATACTGGAGCAGTTTGCCATTTCCTTCTCCGGTGGATTAAGGCAAACAGAAGTTAAGTGGGTCACAGAAGTAGTGAGTATCTGAGGCCAAATTTGAATTCAGATCTTCCTGACTCCAGACCCAGCATTCTATCCACTAGCCACTTAGCTGCCTCTATACCAGTGGTACAAGATTCAAATAGAAACCAGCCCTAGGCTGCATATTAGAAAGCCATTTATTAATGTTATCTACGTTTTGTTGTATTTTATTTATTTTGTTAAAATATTTCTTAATTATCTTTTAATATGGTTCTAGCCACCAGGCCTGTTTGATACCACTGATCTAATCTAAGACCTTCACTTTTCATATAAGGAAAAAATAAGACTCAGAGATGAAGAGATTCATACAACACAGTCTGAGGCTGATTTGAATTCAGGTGTTTCATCATTATCTAGTAAGAAGAAATGACAGCTCATAATCAGATATGTAAAAGTAACAGATACTCTTCTATTTTTATTCATTCAATAAATTCAATAAGCATTTATTAAGGGCCTCCTACATACCAGGTATTGTGCTAAGCGCTGGGGATACAGAAAGAAGCAAGACAGTTCCAGATATCAAGGAGCTTATAATCTCTAGGGGGAGACAGTACACAGACAAATATATACACAGCAAGCTATATACCAGATAAATAGGAAATAATTAAAAGGGGGGCGGGGAAGAGGAGGAGGCAGCTAGGTGGCACAGTAGGTAGCGTGCTGAGCTTGGAATCGAAAAGACTCCCCTTCATGAGTTCAGATCTGGCCTTGTACACTTAATAGTTGTGTGACCCTAGGCAAGTCCCTTGACCCTGCTTGCCTCAGTTCCTTATCTGTAAAATGAGCTGAAGAAGGAAATGGCAAACCACTCCAGTATCTCTGCCAAGAAAACCCCAAATGGGGACGTGAAGAGTCTGACAGGACTGAGCAACAACAAAAGAGGGAAAGCACTGATATTAAGAGGAATTAGGGAAGGCTTCCTGTATTTTGGACGATGTATTTGTCAAAAGGAACTGTGAAAAGATAAATATAGCATTCTCCTCCATATCTAACCTTACAAGAGAGACTTTTGGCCTTTTCTACATGCCCAAACATAGCTGTCAATCAAATGTATTATTTGTTATTATAGTATTAACATTATACAAAGTTGACAGTATAAATACTACATGGCACAAACTAGCCTGTTAAACTTTAAAATACAACTGGGAAACCCGTTGGTCTTTAACTTACTGTACAATATAAAGGAGCTTGTCTAAGAGAAAAATGAATTCTCAGAATTTCCAAAGAGGAAAATAAGCATATACATTTTCTATTGGAAAAACAGGACTCATCTGTGCATGTACACCACACTGTCAGCCCTCTCTGTCCCTCTTAATCACCAGTCCCAACGTTGTTGCTTTGTGCTACGTTTATATTAACTCTTTTAATTAAATATTAGTCTGGTTTCCAAAATATTTTAACAGTTCAAAAATCTGATATTCCATCATATTTTACTTGTCCATGAAGGAAACAAAAGGGAATCCAGGAGATACATTTCCTAGACCAAGAAGTTTTCTCTTATTTATAGACCAAACTCCAAACTTTTCAATACTCAAGCAGAGGAAAATAAATGAAAACATGACAAAGGAAGGCACACAGACCAGCTTCCATGGTATCATACCCCAATGTCCAAAGATCTGGAAAAGAGGAAGAGATGCCACTGGACTACGGGCTGGGAATGATTGGGAATGACAAGATTTATTTTACCAGTTAGATATCTAAAAACCATTACCATGTTCCGCTTATTCATTCCAGCCATGGGAAGCCCACAACCGAATTGCGAAGCCATAGATCCTACTGTCTTTCCAACACGAAAAGAAAGACCAGATAGACAAGTGGCAGGAAAGCACTCAGTTACAGTATCAGCTGGTGGGGAGCCTGGGGACTCCCCGGCTGAGATTCAAGTTGCAATGCGCACCAGTGCCTGCCTGCCTGCCTCCCAGCCAGAAGAAATCCTACAGAAAGAAGTAAGAGACCAGAAGCTCGAGGGGACCTCAGACCCCAAATAGTCCAACCCCCTCCGTTTGCAAATAAGCAAAGTGAAGCCCGAAGACATTAGCTGACTTGCCCAGGGACACAAAAGTAGAGTTTGCAAGGCAGGATTTGAACCAGCTCCTCTACAGAGCCAGCCTCACTTACCTAGTGAGTAAAAAAAGTCAGTCCCATTCACCTCCCCTTAGTAAGAAGGGAAAAATAGGAGAGGCGATTTCTCCCCCAGCCATCCTTTTTCTACTATTCCTCCAGGACAATTCCCCCGGAGTGGTTTATGAGAGGCGACCTCCCACCTCGCCCATTTTCACTCCTCCTCCTGCCTCCCTCAGTCTCCCCCAGCCTCCCCCAGTCTCCCGGCGGTCCACAGTCCCCGCACCTTGCCAGGCCCGCCGGCTGGGCGGTGGCACCCTTACCTGGCTGGTGGGGCACGCTGACCCGGCGCGCCACGAGCTGCGAGGGACCAAAGTGGATGGAGCGAGTGCACCCCAAGCTCTCGTGGCTAAGGTGGATGAAGGGAAGAAGGGCGGGAGGGAAGGAGATTGCCTGGCCTCGCCCCGCCCCGGGAGCCGCCGGCTCAGGCCGGGCGACCTCGGTTCCCGCCACGGCTTGCCCGCCCCACGCCTCGCGGCAGCCAGAGAGAAGAAAGGGGTGGATCTGCAGAGGTTACCCAGCGAGGACTCCAACAGGTTCTGCCACCTCCCGCGTCTCAGCCAAGCTGCAGCCAGGGGCGCGATGGGCAGCCCGGCAGCCCCGGCGCTCCGAGGCTCAGCTCTCCGGGACTGCTCAGGCTTTGCGCAATTGCTGGCGGGCAAAGCCAGGTCGCTGGGTTTCTTTAAGCTCTCGTTTCCTCTTACATGGGGGCTCCGAAAGCAAGCGCCCCGAATCCTCGAACCCTGTCAGAGCCTTGAGCAGTGCCACCTGCGGGTGACTCGCCACTATCGCTGGCCAGTCCTTCTGGATACTGGCGAGAATCAGTCAGTCAGTCGACAATCATTTGTTAAGCGCTGACTCTGGGCCAGGCAATGTGCTAGGCGCAGGGAATACCAAGAAAGGCAAAACCAGTGTTCACACTCTGTGATGGTAAAGTCGGAAGGAAACTGAGAAATCAGCCAGTGCGACCCTTTTGGTTTCCAGAGGAGGAATGTGAGATTCTGAAAACTTCTAGTGATTTGCTCAGCAGAATTGGCACTAGAACCTTCACTTCCTCTGGTAAGTATGGGAAAGAGGTTTTTTTTAGGGAACTAAGAAATACATAACACAGGAAAGAAACAACTTTGCCAGGGCAACCAAAAGTTTCTCGTTGGATTTGTGGGGTCACCGGCAGTTGCCCCAGGATGGTTTAAGTGGTATGGGTCTCTTTCTCCCGAGACATTCTGGTTAGTGGCCTGGCATTCTGCTCCTGGTCTGATTTATAACCCTGAGTGAGAATCTAAAAGCTTTTGGCAAATTTATAAAAGAGAAATTTGTCCATGGCCTAGCTTGCCACCTCTCTAATCAATAGCCCCTTCCCTACCTCAATTTGCCCGGCCTGGGCCAGGAGTCCCAGCAGAAGCAAGCGGAGGGCAGCCGCCTATGTAAAATGAATATTTGCAGATTGCCCCATCAAAGGGTATGCCAGAGCTCTGGAGAACTTCCTCAGGCTTATTCTGTGTTCAGTATTCCACTAGACTGGCTCTCAAAAGGGACCATAAAAATCTCCAATCCCACGCCAGCAGCCCACACACCTTAACCAACAAGGTGTTAGTTGACTAGATTGGAAGAAGGGCTACATTCCAATTAACCTTTAATTAAGCAAAAGATTGCTTCATATTTTTGGGTGGGTCTTTGTACTTGAATCATTGAAGACAAGAAACTCTCAGAAATTAAGGATGGTAAAGATAGCAACTGAGGAAGATAACCCAGGGATGACGATCAATTCCCTACATTTTTAGACTGAAAATATCAGGGAAAGGGTAGTCAGAAGGGCGGAGGGCAGATCCTTTGAGTAGATCAATATAAGAACTTTCTTTTTGGCCCTCATATCGGGAAAAAAATTTTAAACGCTTTACTAATAAAGCCTCCAGGTTAATGTGACTGTTTTCCAGAACTAATAGTGTAGTGTATCTATCTATCTCTGTGGCTATAAAGTTTCAGATAGTCAACAATATACCTATCAAGTGAATAGTTTAGGTGTGTAAATAAGGTTTAACATCCACAGAGATGTAATCCAGGCTGTTACTTTTCAAATCAGACAGCACTGGCTACCTTATGAGGCAGGATGTAGGCAAAAATAGACCATCAGAAAATTTCACATACCTCAATGAATAGAAGTAAAAGCTGAATTCAGGATGTGGTTGATAACAACAAAAAAATTGTAAGTTAAATGTAATTGTTTATTGCTCACCTGAAAAGATCACTGCCTTTAACAGAAAACAGAATAGCCCCATTTTAAATACAGAGGCTTTGTCAATTAACCATATTTTTTAAAGTATTTTTGGGACTTAGGCAAGAGTAGGACAAAAGGTCTTTTCTCCCCACTATGGTGGGCTACATACCATCCCCAAAAAGGAGTCAAATTATTATTATGTATTTATCTTAATATAATTGTAATAGTATATGTATATAGACTCAGATTCTCAGCAAGTGTAGCTTGTGAAGTGTATATATGTTTGTGTGCATATGTATATATGCACCATTTTTCAAGTACAAGCTTATTTAGGTTTAAGGTGGGCATTATAAATTCATTTAGCAATCATTTATTCATTGCCTACTTTAGGCAAAGTACCTTGGTATTGTACTGGGTAATCTTTCTTTGTGGATGTGTGTGTGTGTGTGTGTGTGTGTGTGTGTGTGTGTGTGTGTGTTCATGCTCGAACTGGAGAGTTGGCATGTTGGACTTATATACTTCTATAGGCTGTCATATGCTGGTAAATGTTTAACAACCAGCTCTCCAAAAGAAACGTACACTCCACAGTTTCAAATTTCATTTATATCACTAACATTTTCTTCTTCACTTTCTTAAGTCTAAACTTAAATCAAGAAAACAATGAAGTAAGCCCTGATTGTAGATTTGCCAATTTCCAAGGTATAAATGTTAACAATAAAAATGTAATAACCAGCTCTATTAGAACTGTTTCCAACACACCCCAGTATATAGGTATAACTATAATAGGCATAGCTATAATATAGCGCCTGCCCTCAGGAATCTTATAACAAGACATACATTTGACTTGCTTTATACAGTTTTCCCAGGTTGGCACAATGAACACGAAGCCAATTGGAGCCATACCAGCATAATTATAATTTAAGCAAAGTTTGTCTTTGGCACTTCTCTCTCTCTCTCTCTCTCTCTCTCTCTCTCTCTCTCTCTCTCTCTCTCTCTCTCTCTCTCTCTCTCTCTCTCTCTCTCTCTCTCTCTCTCTCCTTTTCTTTCTTTTTTTCTTTTTTTGAGAATCCCTTGGTTTTATGATGCCATTGGGTCATTTCAACTGAGCTGGAGGGTATGCTGTGTACAGAGAAAAGTGTATTTACATGTTGCCTCCTCTCCTCTGTCTTATCACAGTAAAATGTAAATTCCATGAGGACAAGAAACTGTTTCCTTTTTCTTAATGTCATTGGTATGTAATCTAAAACCCCCAGCATAGTAGGCATTTGATGTTTGTTGAATTAAAGGAATCTCAAAGCTCATCTAATTCCATCTCTTCATTATAGAGGTGAGAAAAGTGAAGCTCCCTAAAAACTGTCCATGAAGCTCAGTAATTGCAAAATCAGGACTGAAGTCAAAGTTCCGGCTCCAGGTAAGACCCCTTGTTTAGTAATTCTCTTTTGTTAATGGTCTAAGGAGTTTTATGGTCTGAGTGAAGCTTCAGAAATACAAGGTAAAGGGTACCAACTCTACTCTAACAGTCCAGTATTATCAACTGAAACTCCACAGTAATTTACTTGGTTCTGGCACTAGGTGCCAAAGATATGATGAGGTCTGAAAGGAATTTACTCACACCAAAATAAGCATCAAGCCAGCCTAAGGGAGTTCTTGTGGAAGAAAAGCAAGGTTGCTTTAAAAAAAAAAGCGTTGGGTTGTTTTTTTTAAGCCAAAGTCTTTTTGGTTTTATTTTGTTTTGTTTTCTGGCTGAGGGTGTCTACTAGCCTCATTAACAGAGCAGAGATAACCCTAGGAATCTGCCAACTCCTAAAAGAGCTACAACTTTCATTTTGAGAAAAAAAATCTAAGCAACAATGTCATCCCCCAAAAAAGCAATACTATTCCAGTCTTTTGTTAGTCAAGCCCTTAGCTGGACCCAGGTAGAACTGAAGGAAGTTTTTCCAGCAGTGTTTATTTTATTTTTTACCCAAGTTTATATTAAAGGTGGAGTGATTAAATTCCTTTGACACAGTCCCCCCCCTCCCCCACCCCAGCCCTTGGCAATCAGCATCAGGACGATGCAAATTACCTTGGAGTGTGACTTAGTAAAACTGGAAGATAGAGGCAGAGTTGACAACATGGCATTGGCCGAGTAGAGGTAGCAACCCAGCCAAGGTCTCCCAATATTTCCCTCCCAATAACTTCAAAAAAAGTGTCAGATCAAATTCTGCAGCAACATAGCCAACAAAAGGTCTGTGTGAAACTTTTCTAGCCCAAGATAACTTAGGAAGTTGGCAAGAGAGGTCTGTGACATCATAGTGATACCACCCTGGAGGACACATGATGAAATCATTGGTGGGCCTTGGAAGTGGCTATGGCAACACCTGCAGTAGCTTTGGGAAATCTCAGCCCAGAATGGTCAGGGGATTGGACAGCTGGTCAGGAAGAGATTACAGGAGACCCTGAACTGAGGACACCGAGCACAGAACCAGGTACCCTTTGGCGACTTTATTGCCTATGTGAAGTTCTAGATCATCGGTCTAGGGCAGAGAAGAGCACCTGTGGTCCATCACAAGGGAGGGCCCTGGTCACAATTCCAAGGCTGAAAGGAGCATCAGCAGGGGACCTGGTGATGAAAACAGGGCTGAGAGGAGCCCTGCAAGGGAGCATGGGCCCTACCTAACCACACTTCACTCCAGATAATTCCACCTTGAAAGCACTGAAAACCCCTAGAACTAGATATGAAAACAGCAGCACGAAGCTTGGAACAGTGCCTCTGTTGAGGTTTAGGGGTGCTGGGACCCCAAAATCACATTATGCGGATCCTGTCCGAAAGAATTTGACCCAAGCCTTCTTTCAGTGAAAGACAAGGTTTATTAGAACATCCTTCATATTGGACAGACTCTTAAAGAGTCTGAAGGTTAGTGAGCTAGTGGCTAGATTTTGAGAATCTGATCATTGTAATTGAGACAAGATGGATCTTATATATAGAAAGACTAAGGGAGGGATCTAGGAGTGGCCAAATAGTCTATGAGGTAATAGAACTCCAGGGACCTGGACCATGTGGCCAAGGGAGAAGGAGCCTAGATAGGATTAAGAGTGGGAAGTGGAAGTAAGACAATGGAGGGCTAGGCAAGGTTTAGGATAAAGGAGAATTGGGAGGTTGGGTGTAGGCAACAACAAAAGGCCAATTGATGGGATTATAGCCTCAGGCAAACACCAGAAATTTGGCCTTATGGGAAAGTCCAGGACTCTTCCTTTTGGGGATCTAGATCCCATCCTTATCACCTCCTTTCTGGGGTCCATATCCCAACTTCAGCCAATGTACCTGCCAATGTCCCCCCCATCACTCCCTGGATGCAGCCTGTGCTCAGTTCCAGTCAACCTCCTCTTTGGGACCCCCTTGAGGCAAGGACAGCTCTATGCCCCTTGCCAGCAGGAAGCAATTTCAGAATCTGAGACCTTTGCCTCTTACCCCAAAAGAATTTGGGTCCCATTTGTTTGAAGGGTGAATGATGAGGATGAGATCTAGACCCCAAAAAGGAAAAACCCTGAACTTTCCCACATAGCCAAATCCCTGGCGTTCCCCCTGCGGCTATAATCCCGTCAACTGACCTTTCATTTTGGCTATGTCCAGTCTTCCAATTCTCTGTTACCCTTAATCTAGCCCTCCATTGTCTTACCTCCCTATGGCCACTTCCCACCCTTAATCTTAGTTGGCTCCATTCTCCCTTGGCCATGTGGTCTAGATCCTTGTTCTATTACCTCACAGTCCCCTCAGACTACTTGGCTACTCCTAGATCCCTCCCAGTCTTTCTGTATATAAGGTCCCTCTTGTCTCCATCAAGATGCTCAGATTCTTATAATCTATCCATAGCTCACTAATGGACAGATGTTATTAGAACAGATGTTCTAATAAACCTTGTCTTTGGCTGAAAAAAAAAAAGAATTATTGGACTGCCTGAAAGTCATGATCCAAAAAAGAACCTAGACATCATATTTCAAGAAATTATAAGGGGAAAATGCCCCAATATCTTGGATCCAGAGGGTAAAACAGAAGTGAAAAAAAAAATCCACCAATCACCTCCCAAGAGAGATCCCAAAATGAAAACTCTCAGGAATATTAGAGCCAAATCCAAATATTAGAGCCTTCCCAGGGCAAGGAGAAAATATTGCAAGCAGCCAGAAAGAAACCATTCAAATGCATGGAGCCATGTGTTAAAGAAGCAGAACAATTTCTTTAAAGTTAAAGAACAGTTTCTATGTTAAAGAAGCAGAAGGCTTGGAATATGATATTCCAGAAAACAAAGAAACTAGAATTATAACCAAAAATAATCTACCCAGTGAAACTGAGTAGAATTCTTCAGGGGAAAAAAAATGGATGTTTAATTAAATAGAGGACTTTCAAGCATTCCTGATGAAAAGACCAGCGCTGAATAGAAAATTTGACATTCAAACACAAGACTCAAGAGAACCCCAAAAAGGCATACAGGAAAGAAAAATCATAAAAGATTTACTAAGGTTAAAAAGGTTACATTCCTATATGGAAAGATGATACATATAACTCCTAGGAATTTTGTCATTATTAGGGCAGTTAGAAGTCTACATAGATAGAGGGAATAGATGTGAGTTGGTTATATTAGGATGGTCTCCAAAAAAATGAAGAGGTGAGGAAGAAGATGCACTATGAGAAGGAGAAAAGGAGAGGAAGAATGGGGAAAATTGTCTCACATAAAAAGGCATGCAAGGAAGAGCTTTTACAGTGGAGAGGAAAATGAGGGGGAGTAGTAGCAGATAATGTTTGAATCTTTCATCAGAATTGATTCAAAGAGGAAAGAATATATATATGTGTGTGTGTGTATATACATACACACACACACACATTATATATATATATATATACATACACTAAGTTGGATACAGAAATAAATCTTACCCAATAGGGAAGTAGAAGGGGAAGGAAATAAAAGAAATAAGGAGGGGGGGTGTGATAAAATGGAGGGTAGTTTAAGGGAGGTGGTGGTCAGAAACAAAAACAGACTTTTGAGGAGGGACCAAGTAAAAAGACAGAGAGAAAGATAAACAGAAGAAAAGAGAATGGAGGGAAATACACAGTAATAATAACTGTGAATGTGAATGAGATAAACTCACCCATAAAACGGAAGCAGACATCAGAATGGATTAAAAACCAGAATCCAAAAATATGTTGTTTATAAGAAACACTTTGGGGGGCAACTAGATGGCACGGTGGATAGAGCACTGGCCCTGAAGTCAGGAGGACCTGAGTTCAAATCCAATCTCAGAACAAACACTTGCCACTTACTAGCTGTGTGACCCTGGGCAAGTCACTTAACCCCAATTGCCTTAAAAAAAAAGATAGAAACACATTTGAAACAAAGACAAAACACATAGAGTTAAAGAGCTGGAGCAGAATCTATTATACTTCAGCAGAGGTTAAAAAAAAAAAGCCAGGAGTAGCAATCATGATCTCAGACAAAGCAAAAGCAAAAATAGATCTAATTAAAAGAGAATCAGGGAAACATTTTGATAAAAGGTGCCATAGACAAATGGGCAGCTAGGTGGAGCAGTGGCTAGAGTGCCAGTCTTGGAGTCAGGAAGACTCATGTAGTCTTGTCATGTTTTTCTGAAACCATTTCCCTTGTCATTTCTTGTACCACGATAGTATTCCATCACAATTATATTCCACAACTTGTTCAGCCATTCCCCAGTCAATGGGTATCCCTTCAATTTTCAATTCTTTGTCATTACAAAAACAGGTACTATAAATATTTTTATTCATATAGGTCCTTTCCCCTTTTCTCTGATCTTTTTGGGTACTAGATACTAATATCCCTATAATTACAGTTAAGGAAACTGAGGCAGATAGCAGTTAAGTGACTTGCCCAGGGTCATACAGCTAGTAAGTGTCTGAGGACAGATTTGAACTTAGATCTTCCTGACTCCAGACCCAGTTCTACATGCCATGTAACTAGCTACATCTGAATAGATGAACACTGCATTTTCTAAAATATTTTAAGTAGCCCTGTGGCTTAAAAGAAAAAAGAGTTGGACTTAACAGTAAAGGAAATCTCAGTTCGTTTTCTGCCTCTGAAACTTACAACCTAACTAAACAAGAGATAAAGATGATCATTAAAAAAAGGGCCATTTTGATGGCATAAAATGGAAAAGTCAGTGGCTAGCTGTCTATTCTCTAAGAGAACCATGACGTCAGGAAGGTAATGTCATGACTAGCAAATGAATTGGATTTAAGTGAGGATGGGCTGTGCAAAGTCACCAGCCTCACTCTCTCCTCCAGAGCCATCTGGGTCTAGTGGCAAGATATAGATCAGGACAACTGGAGTTATCTTACTTTGTTGGAAGGCATTGTTTGAAGTAGGTGGGTGTGAAACTGGATAGAAGATACAACCTAGATTGGAACCGACTGTCTGCCCACATTGCCTCTTTATGATAGGTAATCTTTTGCTGTGGTCTTTTTGTTTGCTGAAAAACCCATGAAAGTTTAGGAAGCAGAGATGAAGCAAAAGGAAAAAGAAAATTCAAACTTAGGCTTACATCCCAGTTTTAGCCCTTCCCAAGATTATCTCATCTTTTATTCTCTAAACTAGCTAGCTAGGTACCACTTGGTTGAGGACTTATGGGTTTATGACCCATGCTGAACCTTGTAGCTGATCCCTTTCCTTTACTTGCCTGCACAGTGTACCCTGAGTTTTTCCTCTAAGTTTGTCTACTTCTCAAAAGGGAATTAGTACTGCATTCCACCCCCACCTCAGATTACTGAAGAAACAAATACAGCTTTGACTAGTCTAACACACACACACACACACACACACACACACACACACACACACACTAAGTAAAGGAAATACCCAATATGTAACCCAAAATCAAATATGGAACAAGTAGTATGTTCCCATACAGAAAAAGGAATGGTAAACAAAAAAAGAATTATAGGATGATTAGAACAGAATATAGTATCATTGCTACTAATATAGTTGGTTAGGAGGATAACATCCATCCCAAGTGGGGACCCAAGACAGTTTCTTGGCAAGGTTACTAATTAGACAGTTTACATTTCACCTCTACACCAAGCAGGATCTTCTTGCTACTGGCCTCCATTTCTCTCTGATGTGCTTTGTTTCTGCCAGTCTTCTCTCCTGGCTCCTACACTTCCAACTACTCTAGAAGTTTCTTGGTTCTTATAGCACTCACAGATCTTTCAGGACTTTTTGATGTTCACTAGATAATGCCATCAATGACCGTGTGAAAAAAATGCTCCAAACCACTAATTGTGAGAAAAATACAAATTAAAATAACTCTGAGGCTTCACTTTACAGTCTTCAAATCAGCAAAGATGGCAAAAGAAGGAAATGCTAATTTTTGGAGGCACTATGGGAGAACAGGCACACTAATGAAATATTGGTGGAACTGCAAATGATCTAACCATTCTGATGAGAAATCTGGAACTATACACAAAAGGCCAGTAAAGTGTGCACAACCTTTGACTCAGTGATACATACCACTACTAGGCATGTAGCTCAAAGATATCATATAGATAGAAAGGATGTATATGTTCAAAATATATATACAGTAGCAAACAACTGGAAAGTGAGTACCCATCATTTGAGGAATGATTGAACAAATTATGGTACAGGAATGTATTGGGATAGTATTATGCCTTGAGAAAGGAGGCATTTAACTTACCAGGATTCAGAAAAAATCTGACAAGACTTGTAGGAATTGATACAGAGTGCAGTGAACAGAACCAGAAGAACAATTTACATGATCACATTAATGTAAAGGAAAACAACTTTCAAAGAATTAAAAACTCTGATCAATGTTAATGACTAATCATAGCTTCAGAAAACTGGTGATAAAGTATTCTTCCAGCTTTGGGAGAGAAGTAATAAACAAGAGATGCAAAATGAGACATACATTTTCAAATACAGCCAATGTGTTGACTTGCTTTATTTGACTCTACTTTATTCCAAGAGCAGGCTTCTGTGGGAGATCGGGAGAGGAGACATGGGGAGAGAAGAGGGAGCTGGTAAGTACTGATAGTAATTTAAAAAAAGAAGAAACGAATGGGAGATTAAAAATACACAGCCGGTTGCCTCACCAAAAAGCAAAAATAAAAATAAAAATAAAAATAAAATAAAAATACACAGAAGAGAGCAGAAGATCACAGTTTCATTTAAAATCCTCTTCTTTTCCTGTTGAAATATTTGTGTTTATTGATGGTTGTTAAGTTCGTAGTAATAACATTTTTAAGAAAAGACACAACCAATGTGACCATGTCACATGACTTCTGAGTCACTTAACCTCTACAAGCCTCAGTTTCTCATATATGAATTAGTAATAATAATAATACTTTTACCACCTACCTCAGAATTGTTGTGAAGAACTTTATACAATCTTCAAAAGTGCTATAAAATATGAATTATTATATTTGATATGAACACTTAGCACCTACGGGACACTGCAGGACACAAAGATATAATACATATAATTCATAGCCTCTCCCTTCTTCACTGAGAAGGAAAGACCTGCCTATTACAGCTAGCATTTATATAGCATAGCACTTTAAGGTTTCCAAAGCACTTTACAAATGTTATCTCATTTCATCCTTACAGCAACCATAGGAGATGAGGTGCTATTGTTATTTTTATAGATTGAATATTTTTTTAATAGATGAAGAAATTGAATTTAAATGACTTGCCAGGGTCATAGAGCTAGTAATCATGGGAGGCAATATTTGAATTCAGATCTTACTGACTCTAAATCAGTGCTCTGGTTACAAGATGGAGAGAGGATTCCATGAAGGAGGACCATCTTGTGCTAAGGGGCCCATAAGGGATAAACCAATCTAACTGAAACAGAAAGTTTACTCAGAGGAGTAGTGAGAGATGGAGTAGATAGGAGCCAGATTATAGATCAATTCAATTTGACTAGTATTTATTGAGTTGTTTTTTATATGCCCAGGCTTGTGTTACTATGGCAGTGCCTAGCATAAAGAGGTATGATACATACTCCTTGCCCTCAGATTCTACCTCCTTGAGGCCTTGGCCTTTTGTACATGAAAACAGATGCTCTAATAGATTAGTCAAATAAATCACACCATGCTAATATGTTAGATATCTATCTTTCCGTTGCATGCCAAAATTATGCCTAGCCTTTGGGCAGAGTTTCCACATTCAAAAAGTTACTCAATATGCCACCCCCCTTCATTACTAACCCCTTACATAGAAGGTGGATATAGTTTCTTAGGCAATGTTTAGTGGAACATGACCTCAATGGGAGTCTGACCTCTTTCTTATATGATTATTTCTGAGCTGTATAGAATTCTGGGATAGTCTAGTTAAAATATGCTTGAGAATAACCTTAAAGAATATTGCTAATGGGAATTAGGCAACTACTATCCTTACATCCAACTCTCAAGACACATTTGATGTTGAAATATTTAATGTTTCATTGCGCTGAGAGTATGCTATTCCTTATCAAAACAAAGATGACTTCATTTTAGTGATATGAATTATGTATGTCTATGAGTTTCTATCTGTGTCATGTAGAAACTAGTTAAGTCTTTTTTCTTTCAAGGAAGAAGATAGATTAAAAGTTGTGGGACTAGGGGTGAGGAGGGGAATAGCAAAAGGAATTATTTCAGAGAAACCTGAAGATTTGTATGAACTGATGCAGACTGAAGTGAGCAAAACTGGGAGAATTATCTATACTATAACAACATTGTAAAGGCAAACAACCTTGAAAGACTCAAGAACTCTCATCAATGCAGTGACCAACCACTATTCCAGAGGACCCATGATGAAACATTCTATGCATCTTCTGACACAGAGGTGATAGACTTAGGATGCAGGTTGAGGCATTTATATTTTTGGATATGGCTAATGTGGGAATTAGTTTTACTTTATTATGCATATTTGTTACCTGTGTGTTTTCTTGTTTTTCTTTTTTCCCCATTGGTGAGGGATATAAAAGGAAGATAGAATAGATTTTTGTTCTTTAAAAACAATAAATTAAAATTTTTTAAGAATGTATGTGTGGCATTTTGATAAAAGCCTCATTTCCAAAATGTGTAGGAAACTGATCCCAATTTGTAAGAACCAAAGCAATTCCTCAATTGGTAAATGGTCATTGGATATATACAGGAAGTTTCCAAAGGATGAAATCTGTTGGATGTGTGAAGTGAAGCTATATACCTTTAAAAAAAAATCACTCAACATACTCTTTGAGCCAGTGATGCCATTTATGGCAGGAACAGTATTTGAACCCTTCCTCTTATGCAGATTAGGTTAGTTTTTCTTAAAAGGTATTGAGATATTCCTTGAGACTAGGTTGGCTCAGAAAATTAAGGGGTTGTTGAAATCTTTCTTCATTGTCTGAGTACAAAGCTGGAGGAGCTTGGAGAAGATTGGCTGGCAGATATTGACAGGAGTTTCACTTAGCTGAATCAGCTCAAGGCATCTTAATGTCTATCTTCCTTGAATATCCCTTTCTTCCTAAAGCTCCCCCTATCGAATGACCTACAAATGTCTCATTTCATTCCAATCTCAATCCTAAACTAATAGGAGACTGTCCTGAGTCAGACCCAACCCAGGACACAAATAATAAAGTAAATTAATTCACTGGATATGGAACAAAAACTTCATATTTAAAAGTTGTCGTTCAGTCGTATCCAATTCTTCATGACCCCATGGACCATAGCACACCAATGCTATTCATGAGGTTTTCTTGGCAAAGATACTGGAGTGGTTTGTCATTTCCTTCTTCAGTGGATTAAAGCAAACAAAGGTTAAGTTGCCCAGAATCACAAAACTAGTAATTGTCTGAGGCCAGATTTGAAATCAAGTCTTCTTAACTCTAGGCATAACGCTCTATCCCAGAGAGCCACTTAGCTGCCTCCATTTAGAGAACAGATATTTAAATTCATGTTTATGGATGTTTTTTAAATTATATGATTCTTAGCACCCTTTCCCCCCTTTTCTTTCACTTTGCCACCATAGCAGGAGGAGTACAGGACCAAGGCACATGTTGCATGTGTCTTTCTTTCAGAGTTTTCTATGGCCAAAGAATTTGCTACCTAGTAGCCAACATGGTAGTAATAAACTCCTCCGCATATAGCTAGACTGTTAATCAGTCAGTCAATAAATATTTATTAAAAACTATCACGTGCCAGGCACTATGATAAGTGATAGGGATACAAAAAGGAGAGAAAAAAAGCTGGTCTTTATGCAAGTAGCATGTGAGAGACAGAACCTTACAGAGTTTGTGCTCCATTGGCAATACGCATTTGAGAAAGCAGAGTCACTTCCACTGTCATGATGAAGAATACAAGTAGAATTTTGGTGGAGACATACAATTTGTCAATTTAAATTTGAATATGTTATTCCAATTTTGTCAATAAAGCACACATTAAAAAAAACCCATAGTATCATGCTAGAGTATCCAGGGTTGCTTTTTATAAAATTACTTTTGTAATATTTAATTTACCATTAGATCGCACTTTATACATTTGATAAATGAATGTAATATGGTATAAGAAAGCTGAATGATTCCTGAAAAAAGTGTTTCCACGTGGTTTTTCTAACTATTAATTTTCTGAATGCCTAAGAGCGTGTCAAAAGTAGTGCAGCTCTTTATTCTGCATTAGATATATTTATGAAACACTGTAAATTTAAAAAAAGTAAATGTTATCTAATCATGATTTCACATTGTCTTCCACTTTAATTTCAGAGATGGAAAAAATTTTCCAAATGAAATAAAAGTACACATAAGAATCTTAACATTTATTTAATATTTATCACAGTATTTGCGTCCTTTGTCAGCGTACAAGGGGACCATTTTCAATTCTTCCCTCTCCCTTTTCACCCCACATCAAATCAGTTTCCACTCTTCAAATTCTCAGCCTGAAAAGAGTTGTCTCAAAGAGCAAACGAGCACATAGAGGTTTGGTTCAGAAGAGTCACTATTAGTCCTTTTTAGAATTTAAGGAAGTACTTATCAGTCAAGTGTCCATTAGACAAACATTTATAGATGTTAATCATCATAACCTTGCATTTATATGGTGCCTTAAGGTTTGCAAAGCACTTTCTTGACCCCAACCCTGTGAAGCAGTTATCACAAATATCCCCACATGAGGAAACAGACTCGGGCAGATTAAGTGATTGGCCCCAAGTCACACAATTAGTGAGGGTCAGAAACTCAACCCAGGACTCTTCTGACTCAAGGCTAAAGATCTTTCCTCTATACTTTGCTGCTTCTCATTAAATTAATTCTATGAGATCTTTAGAGTTATTCTACACTTTCTGTGATGCTGGCAGTTCAAGTGTTATTAAAAGTTATCTTTGAGGGAAATGTGCATGTGTATGTATGTTGCTTGATATTTAAAGAACAACTCTAGAGGTTCTTAATCTAGGCTGCATATACTATACATACACACATATATACGTATGTATGTACACACATGCTCACATATATAGTTATTTAAATATAATTGATTTCCTCTTTTATCCCACGTATTTTATTTTGTATGCATTTAAAAACATTCTTTTGATCTATAGTCATATGAAAAAATGCTCTAAATCACTATTGATTAGAGAAATGCAAATCAAAACAACTCTGAGATACCACATCACACCTATCAGATTGGCCAACATGACAAAACAAGAAAATGATAAATGTTGGAGAAGATGTGGGAAAATTGGAACACTAATGCATTGTTGGTGGAGTTGTGAACTGATCCAACCATTTTGGAGAGCAATTTGGAACTATGCCCAAAGGGCTATAAAAATGTGCATACCCTTTGACCCAGCAATAGCACTTCTGGGTCTGTATCCCAAAGAGATCATAAAAATGGGAAAAGGACCCACATGTATAAACATATAGCAATTCTTTTTGTGGTGGCAAAGAATTGGAAATTGAGGGGATGCCCATCAATTGGGGAATGGCTGAACAAGTTGTGGTATATGAATGTAATGGAATACTATTGTGCTATAAGAAATGATGATCAGGCAGATTTCAGAAAAACCTGGAAAGACTTGTATGGACTGATGCTGAGTGAAGTGAGCAGAACCAGGAGAACGTTGTACACAGCAGCAACCACGTTGTGTTATGATTAATGTTGATAGACTTAGCCCTTCTCAGCAATGCAAGGATCTAAGACATCTCCAAAAGTCTCATGATGGAAAATGCTATCCACATCCAGAGAAAGAACTATGGAGTTTGAATGCAGATCGAAGCATATTATTTGCTCTTTTCTTCTGTTTTGTTTTGTTTCCTCTTTCTTGTGGTTCCTCCTATTGGTTCGAATTCTTCCTTACAACATGACTAATGTGAAAATATGTTTAATAGGAATGTATATGTAGAGCCTATATCAGATTGTGCACCATCTTGGGGGGGGGGGAATGAGGGAGAGAAAAAATTTAAAACTCAAAAGCATATGGAAGTGATTGTTGAAAACTAAAAATAAATTAATAAAACAATTTAAATAAATAAATAAGAACATTCTTCTGGAAAGAACACCAGAGGCTTCTCCAGACTGGCAAGGAAGTCCATCATGAAAAAAAAAAGATTAAGAACTCTCTATTCTAATGATTAACACATAAAAATATACTTATACAAAGTTAAATTGACCTGTACTGTGGCTATAAAAGCTGCATAGTCATGTGGGGAAAGAATGAATTTGAACTCAAAGGCTAGAGGCTCAAGTTCCAGCCTTGACACTTTTTATTTGTGTGTCTTTGGGTGAAGCACTTCATCTCTTTGGGCTATAATGAAGGAGTTGGACTAGATAATCTGTAAAGGACCTTCCAACTCTATAACTACTATAATCCTGGTCTCAGACAGAGGAATCAGAATTATAGATTAATGTAGTCACAAGGATAATTTCTTTTTAAACCTCTAACACTCTGTCTGAGAAGCAGGTTTTTATGCATATTTCCAAAGGAAGGAGGCTGGAGGTGGGGAAAGGAAGTCTTTTTCCAAAGTCAGCTGAAAGTAACATAAAATGAAGTCTTAGCCTACTACTGAGGTCTGGTTGGACTCCAAATTGCATATTACTATATGACTATGAATTAAGATAGAAAGAACAAAGGAACATAGCAAATATTATAACGTGTTGTCATTCCCTAGGAAATGGAGAGAGAGAAGAGCAGCAAAACTTCACTGAGGTGGAGGGAAGACACCTGAATTAATAAAAAAAAAATCTGAATTGTAACATTTTTGCAAAAAAAATCTAATATTATTATAAATGCATATAAATGTGTGTGTGTGTGTGTGTGTGTGTGTGTGTGTGTGTGTGTGTGTGTACACACACCTCCAGAATAAAATACAAAATCCTGAGCCTGACATTTAAAGTTTTCCTAGGTCTGGCAGCCACCTACCTTTGCAGATACTGACTTCCCACACTCTATCTATGCAGCCAGACTGGCCTATTTGTTCCCCAAATTCAACATCTCTGACTCTAGTCTCTGTGTCTTTGCATCAGATGACCTCTGTAGCCCTCCCTCCTCCCCCCATCTCTTAGATTCCTGCCTTTTTTCAAGGCTTAGCCCTAGTGCTTCTTCCTATTGAAAGCCTTTCCTGATCTACCCTTCCCCCAGTTGTTAGTGTCCGCTCTGTGCTGGAATTTCCTTGTGTTTATGTATCTATGTACCTGTTCTGTCTCCCAGACCCAATAAAATGGAAGCTCCTTAAGGTCAGGGACTATTTCTTTCTTGCTTTTATATATCTGCAATTACAATTACAGTTCCTTGTGCTTTGTAGGTACCCAATAAGCATTTGCTGAATTGAATATATTCTTAAAAATTGGGAGGAAAATTTATTGAAAAAGACTGCTAAGTGTTGTTTTGTTTTGTTTTTAAAGAAGTAATTCAAGAAGAGACGAATAAATGTTTTGAAAGTCCAAGTCAGAGAGAATCAAAGCCTGTATTCCTTGGGGCCACATGTCAGCCTGTGACAGGAAAAAGCCAGAGGTTTCTCACCTTATAATATCTCCAAGAGAGAGGAAGAGGCCTAAGACAACTGTGGCCTTTGGCAAGCAACCCCCATTCCAGTTCCACACCTGCAGTCCAGCAGAAAGGTCACTGTTCACCGCATAGTGAGCAGACAAGAACTAGGCGCAGGATGGATAAGCATACTTCCAAGCCGGTCCAAGTCATTGCCATTCCATATTATTCCTCCTCTCCTGAAAACAGGCTTCCCGGCCTGCCTGAGAATGTTGAGACCCTCTGTGCAGCATTGCAAGGCTTTTGTTCTTAACATAGAGTGAGCACTTAACAAATGCTTTTTCTTTCATTCATTCATTCATCCACTCATTCATTTATTCATTCATTCTATATAAGACTGTATTAAATGGCACACGAATTAAAAAACAAAAAGTCATTTAATTTAAACTAATTAATTTAAACTGAATAATGAGGTAAATAGGAATGAATTGAATCAGATGTTTCCTGAACCCATACCCAAATGGGATTCCTCTTCCTCACTCCTAGAGAAAAGCTAGCCAACTATTTAATTATTTCATATCCCTAATGTAGTGAGAAGGGGACACAGATAAAACTTGCAGCCTCTGTGGAAGGTCACAATCTGAAGCTGCTCTATCTTGTCAGCTTTCCTTCCAGTCTCGGCATAGCTGGCCAGAAAATGCTGATTCCTGAGGGCCTGGCCAAGATGAATATGGAAGCTTCTCGCTAAGGCTGTCCCCCATTAGCATCTAATCCACATAGATTACTGGAATCCTGGTGCCATGTCTGGGTGCACCCTGATTGCAGACAGCAATCTTTCCTCCACTCCCTTCTCTGCCACCGTTTGCATGCTTGTCTCCATCTCTGCTGCTCATGCCAGAACCTTCTGCAAGTCACTCACAGTGCTGCCCATCTGCATACTGATTACCCTTCTTTGGACACTCTCTAGTTTATTAATGTCCTTCTTAAACAAGGGGTTCCAGAACAGAACCCAATAACAGCAGGTGAGGTCTGTTGAGTACAGTGTAACTCTTGCTGCCCTATTCCAAGATGTTATGTCTCTCCTAATACAGACCAAGGACATATTAGGATTTTTTGACTGTTACATCACATTGATGACTCATAATGAACTAAAACCCTCAAATATTTTTCAGGAAAACTGATGTCTACCTCACTTTGTGGTTATGAAATTGATTGTGCCCAAGTATAGGATTTAATATTTATCACTATTGAATTTCATCTTATTAGATTCAGCCTAATGCTTTACCTTCTCAAAATTCTTTTGGTTCCTAACTCTATTATCACTGAATGGGCATTGCCTCAGTCAAACTGAGAGCTGTTAAAGACCTTAATTTAAAAAGGCCAAGCTCTCCCACTGCATCCAGGGCCATCTTCAGTGGTCCTAATCTATATCTTGCACTGGGCCCAGAGGGTTCCAGTGGAGAAAGTGAGGCTGATGTCTTTGCATAGCCTTCCCTAACTTAAATCCAATTTATTTGCGTGTCATGACATCTCCTCCCTGATGTCATGGTCCTCTTCAAGAAGGACAAACAACAACAATAACTATTATTACTGAGTTAATTTTCCTTCCTAGCTTTGTATCATCTGCAAATTTGATGAGCCCACCATCTCTGTTTTATCTAAGTCATTAACAAAAGTGTTAATCTGCAGAGGGTCAAGCACAGATCCCTGGGTATTCCACTGGAGACCTGTCATGCTAACACCAAACCATTAATGCCTATTTGATTTTGGTTTTTTGTTGTTTTTTGCAAGGCAGTCGGGGTTAAGTGACTTGCCCAGAGTCACACAGCAAGTGAGTATCATGTGTCTGAGGCCAGATTTGAATTCAGGTCCTCCTGACTCTATCCACTGTGCCACCTAGCTGCCCCAATAACACCGCTTTGAATATGGCCTTCCAATTCATTATGTATTCATCTATAATAATTGTGCTGTCAACCTATACAGACCTCTCCATTTTCTTCACAAGAATAGTATGAGACACTTTATAAAAGACTTTGTTAAAATCTAGGCAAACTATTTTCACAACATTTCTCTCCTATACTAATTTAATAATCCTCTTCCCTATTCATCAACAATTTCTAATGATCCATTCTGAAATCTGCCAACTCTGCTTTCTTCCCTTTTTAAAAAATTGGGACATTTGCCTTTCTCCTATCTTTGAGGACCTCTCCCACCATTTCCCATGATCTTTCAGATGTCACTGTCAGACTCAGTAATCCCATTTGTAAATTCTTTCAGAACCCAAGGATGTACCACCTAGGCCAGGTGGTTCAAATTCATCAAGTGCAGCTAAGTATTTTAGTGTTTCCTTTCTATCTGGGGGTTCAACTCCCTATTTATCGTTTTTCTCTTCTTTCCAGTGATCATTCTCCTTAGTAGAAAAAACAGAAGCAAAAGAAGGATTGAGCTGCTTTCAGTTATTAAAAGGAGGGGAGAGGGTAGGCTATCATTGTCCATTAGAAAGGCATATCCATGTGAGACATCCAGGAACCAGCAGATGTCTATAAGTGAAGTCCCTTATCAATACTAATATATCATGCCTCTGAGCCAGGCTTGTGACACATTTCCCAAACTTCATATCTACTTCTTTCTTTTGTCCAAGTGATCTATGACATAATCACCATTTCTTCCTCCATTAAATTTTACCTATATACTCTCTGTCATACTTTGCCCCCTCTAGTTCCTAGATTTCCTTATATGAATATACCTTCTATACAGTGCTGCTCCCCCACCTTACCACCACTTTTACCTATCTTGTTTATTTTTAAATTTATTTATATTTTTTTAACATTCTTTTAAAAAATTTTTGAATTCTAAATTTTTTCCCTCCCTTTCCCCCCTCTTCAGCCCATTCAGAAGGCAAGCAACATATTGATTATACATGTGAAATCATGTAAAACAGATTTCCACATTAGCCATGTTACCAAAAAAAAAAGCAAGAAAAATAAAGTGAAAAAATTATACTTTCATTTGCATTCAGAGTTCATCAATTCTGTCTTTGGAGATGGATGGCATTTTTCATCATGAATCCTTTGGAATTGTTTTGGATCACTGTATTAATCAGAGTAGCTAAGTCTTTCATAGTTGATCATCTTTACAACATTATTATTATTGTGTACAATGATCTGATTTTGTTCATTTCACTTTCCATCAGTTCATATAGATCTTCCCAAGATTTTCTGAAACCATCCTGCTCATCATTATCTTGTTTATTTTGACCAAGCTATAGTCTGCTCATGAATTTCATCCCCACCAAGTCTCAGTGATACCCATAAGGTCCAGTTTGCCTGCTTGCATTAAGACCCTTACTTCTTCTGGTTTAGTGTCTAAACTGTAAGCATGTGGCCTCCCAGTACATCAATTTCTTCAGTTCCCTTGACCAGCAGCTCCACTCTACCTCAGCCACCCACAAGGGTGGTTGAATGGTTGCACCTTAGACTTTACCACTCCCCCAAATAAGACATCTTCCAGGATCCTGAACTCTGAAATTCCTCTCCCTCTCTTGCCACCCTCCTGTCCTCCTTTTATTTCTCCATCTGTCATAGTCTTCTTGAACCTCTTCTTTGGCTTCATCCTGACTTCCAGTCCCCTTTAGTCCTCCAAATTCTCCCATTCCATTGCTCCTGGTCATGGTATCATGTCCTTACTCTTACATTCTTGACCTTTCAGTCAGATATTCAATATTGCTTTGTCCTCTAGTCTACGATCCTCAGTACCCTTGTCATTCATTCATTCAACATTTATCAAATACATACTGTGTATAGATTATCATGAAAGACACTGATGAGAAATACAAAATTTAAATAATGCTAATACCTCACATTTTATATAATGGTTCAAGTCTTCCAAAATGTTTTCCCCAAAATAACCTATTTAGAGGAGATGGTACATTTTACAGATGAGGAAACAGATAGTTAACAAGGGTGAGTTACTCATCCAAGCTCTTATAGCTAGTTTGTGTCAAGCCAGGACCTGAGTCTAAGTATTCTGACTCCAAGAGCAGTGATGTCCTTACTGTACCTCTCTACCTCATAACAAAAGAAGAACCAATCACAGACATAATGGGGCTTACAGTTCAGGTGGGCATAAAGCATAAGCACAGAAAAAAATAATGAACAGTATCCAAGTGCGATGTGAGGTTAAGGAGAAGATTTTTACTGACAAGAGGGATCAAGCAGAACAGGTGAACTTTGAGTTAGTCTTAAGGGGTAGGTAGGAATCCAACAAC